CATATGTGACTAGATGGAATACGGGCAAGAGGAAAGAGAGCTAAGAAAAGGGGACACCAATCGGAACGGTCCTAACAGACGCACTGATCTTGTCGTGAGGCAAAGCCCCGCCCACATACATAAAGTCGTTGACGACACTCAGTTAGAAAATCACATAAATTTTTGAACACTTATTGAAACCAGTGCCTTATAAAATCAATATTTCTTTCAGTTCTTTCAATACATCCGGGAAAGCTGTTCATTGTCACTATATGAATGCCATTGGATTCCCAATGTTCTTGCTCTCTCAAAACAATCTCGCTGGCTCGTCTTATCATCAGAGGTAAGTTCCATTGGTCGAGGTAACTTAGAACCGTTTCACTTTTCACTCCTTCTTTGTTGAAGAAATCTTTACGTAGATCTTCTCTGTTTGTGATATCCTCATAATCTATCTATACAATTTCTAATTTTACAAAACCATTGCGAGATCAAACCGCCATATCTCGATTTCCGTTTTCGTTGCCCCCATAATTATCGGCATTGTTCGTCAGATCTTTAATGTTAAGACAACTACTCAACAAATTGAGCTGTGTTTCTCATATATCTTCTGTCCTTTCCCATTCCTCATACCTTACAAAGTTTCTGACTGAAATAATTCGTGTTCTAACAGCTGTTTAAAGGGCAAACCATCTTCGAAGGCAAGGTAGAGTCCAAGCGTTGAGAAATGAGTGTTGGGAATGAACAAAATTTTTGGTCCTAAACCTAACAGCTCAAAAATTTTATACACTGTTAATTCCCATAAATCGAGTGCAGTGTTTTCAATCCTATTGTAATGAAGTTTAATGTGAAAACGCGCGATCTCATTATCATTTTGTTTAAGAATCGTTTCAATGCCACCCTTTGAGTAAAAATTTACTTTTAATTCGGAAAAATGATCTAACCTGTACCCCGTTTCTTCTTTTTGGAACCGTTACCACATCATCGAAAACTATCTCTCTGTAGTTTGTTTTGAAGAATTTTTTACATGATCGTTCGATGAAATATTCCTCTTCGTCTAAATGCCAGAACCACTCTTGACACTTTGTTTGCCAGATATCATTGAGATTTTCATGAATTTTGAAAAAATTCACATCAAGTAGTTTAATTAGAGCCTCGAATTTTGACCGTTAACCACAGAATAAGATTTGTTAACCGAGAGAATAACGCGTGTACGAACATGATTGAAGGATTATGGAGCGATTTAAAGAAAAATGTTAGTAAAAACATAAATGGCTGTCCGGGGACAACACTAGGGGGGAGAGTAGGTGAATATGTTTACAGAAAGCTCCATAAAAATAAGGATATATTTCTGACTATTCTAAGACATATGATAGCTTTTAATACTGTAATTTTCAATTGAGATATTTTGTTGGTCGTTGTTAATAAAAATAAATTCAAGTTTTGCTTTTTTTACGTACGTACGCAAAGTGCGCACAGTTCTGTGGGCGGGGCTTGATACTGGGGGTGTAGTAAAACAGCGCCGATTATATTTATTGGTCAATTAAGTTCAAAGTAAAACTTTTAGGCGGTGGTATCTGGGGAGCACGGGGACTAATCGGGATGAATTTTGGATGTGCTACGACGCCGTTGCAATTTTATCATGAGGCGATTTCGGAGGCGGCCACGTCCAGTACAAAGAATACGAATTTAATTTGTCCAGCATATTATTTCAAGAGCGCTTATGTGGTATGCTAATGCTAAATCAATACTAATTTGTTCAATGATGTTGTGTTTAGGAAAAACTTGCTGAAGAACTCAGAGAAGAAGTAGTGACTTCGCCTCCGCGGAAGAGAGCAACCATAATGACCGAAATCGAAAGGATTGGCGTTCTCTATGGAAAAGAGATATAAATAGACATGCAAGCATTTGTGTACATTTGCGGTAATAATTATAATGGATGAAGAAACAGAAACATATAATTTCAGTCAATTATTGGATTTAGTAATGCACTCTGATTGGGCAACATACATCGCAGA